TTAATACACCGTCGAAGTAATTCGTGTATATATATATGATAAATTCTTCATATTAAAACCATAGCATCGCTTAATACAAGTAGTTACATCTTTATCAGAAAGACACATTTTTAGGTCATGACGATTTAAAAACAAGATTGAAGGCAGGATTTACATGAACCCGTGTCAAGGTCCGACGACAATACTAATTTGTCTGTTACATGTCTACCATATTGATTTTTTTAAATGAGCTTATTATGATAAAAGCGTGTTTTTTTTAAACTATACCTACTTAATTATAAACAGAAGGAGAGTTCAGTTTCTTTTGAAGAGTCACAAAAAAAAAAAAAACCCGTCTTCAACATTATTTTGAGAGTTTAACCAAAACTATGAAATTTAATTTTCTTTCAGAATTCTTATTGTTTCTGCGCTAGAAATTTTAGACGCGAAAAAAAGTACGAATTAAGCAGTCTAAATTTACGGTGTGTTAAAATTTTTCGCAGTGGTATTCGTGTATAACGGTAAAAATTTTGAAAGTGCACGTGCCCAAGAAATAAGAAAAATCGCTGCTCTCAAGAGAAAATCCTTGCGTTTCACAACGAGATGCATACATGCGTGAACATATCAACGGAATGTAGCCGGTGGTCAATGTTCAAGGTATCGCGATATATGCGACATTCGATTCTCCTCAGCAAGACGTTTTAAATATCATCGGTGCACGTAACCGAGAATCGCCGCGCAGTCTGGAACGGATGCTCGGCCACCGCAGCGCAGCACGCAACCCGACCGATGTCAAATTCTATTTTAGCGAGATACATACACCCCGAATCAGCTGACCGTTTCGAATATTTGGCAGAACGTCGGTGTTCCGCGACCGTGCACATGTCCCACTGGAATTCAGATTTGTGGCGCCAAAAAAAAAAAAAAAAAACGTTTTACGATCATTGAGGTAGACATAACAGCATCGTGAATTATACGCGTGTTAAAAATTTTTCGTCTCATTAAAAATATTGGTGTTCATCACTAACTAACTCACTATAATCGTGTTTAGTCATTGAAATGTATTGTATTAGGTACGCTTGCCGCAAGTTGGTTTTAATTTTTTTTATCTCGTTAATGTTATTAGTTAGTTTAATGCTGTCAAAAATTTTAACACCATTCAATTTATTTTGTATCAAGTTAGCCTAACTTTTCATACTTTATAAACTTTTAGTACTGTGACTTCGCGCGTGTATAGACTACAGCAACCTATTGCCACTAAGTCATGGGTTGCTGTGCATGAAGTAGAATAGTCCAGAAGCAATTTTTTAGGTAAATAAATCGATTCTGAAATTAATCGAACTTATATCGACATCCCTAATTCGGAGATTCGTGAATCTCAGTCAGTATTCACGTCTTTAATTATCACACTCCCTTTGCGCTTTCACAATTCCTACGATAGGGAAATTGACCGCACGTGCCTCAATACAACTCCATGTTTTACTGTCGAATGTCCTCTATAGGCACTGCAATAGAGTATATATTTGCACGACTAGACAATTGTCGTGATGGGTAAGTCACGTGTACAACAGTATTGCGAATTCGATAGATGATCGCTCGTGCGGTGCTTCTTATGAATTGAAGGATAAATTGTCACGAGGGTATACAATAGAAGGATTCCCTTGCAAATTGTAAAGTCTGTAAATAAATTCTTTGAAGTGAGCGAGCGGTCTCGTTTCTTGTTGAAGAATTCAGTTACAGATGACGGATTTATTAAATCTTATTAAATGTTATAAAAAGACTATTATACAATCGAATCCAGTATTCGAAGTTAGGACTGGGATGAATCTTATGATAGCTTTAAGAAATAAAGTATATAGTTACATTTTTGCAGGTATATATGACCAAGGGAAGATCTTCCACCGAGCGGGTGATATTTCTCGGTAGACCGACGATCCGAATGTTGTTGTTCGGAACTTGTATATCTTGAAAATGTCGTGAGCAAGATTCAGGCATCTATCCATTATCTTGTGTTTGTATGATGGCTACCACCCAACGTTTAAGACACCCTTTGAATTCGTATCAAGCAATGTGACTACCTAAAAATCCCGCAGACTGAACCAGTTTTTGTAACGAAATTATTTTCGTATGTAGATACTTAGTACGCTTCTACGAGCGACCGATACGATGAAGGCGTGTATTGTAAGCCAGCTCTGATAGGTACCACCGACCTGCATATTGTGTTCAGTGTTTCTCGAGCGCTATGACATGTCCTTCTTCAAACGAGGCTTGTCGAGAATACTTAACGGTAGGCAGCGGCTTGGCTCTGCCTCTGGAATTGTTGAAGTCCATGGGCGCGAAGCAGTAATTTCGTTACAGTTTTAAGGGGAGCATAGGCCTTAAACAATATGATCGAATAGGTGGGTAGTCTCATTCACTGTGTTCTTCTTCTAATCGAGTAAATAAAACAAAAGTTTAGGCAGCGGCTTGGCTCTGCTCCTGGCATTGCTGAAGTCCATGGGCGACGGTAACCACTTACCATCAGGTGGGCCGTACGCTCGTCTGCCTACAAAGGCAATAAAAAAAAAACTCAATTATGGGTCAATTAAAAAAAGTAATACCTACATTTAAATCTGTTGAAATTCAAAACAAACAAAACACATACCGTACATATACTTGATTTGAGAATCGAATAGGTTTTCAATTTGGAAAACAAAAAACGTTCGTTCAAATTGAAAAAAAAAAGATGTCGCCGGAAGGGGTACTGCACCGACATTGTTTTTCCTATTACAAGCCTGATTAAGCCGTCCGTAATGTCTGTGACGGGGCTCCAGGTGTGTCAGCCTCTGCAATCATCCGTACAATAGGGTCTTAAAACTTCTCGCACAGGTACGTGCTTGGAATTTTTGTTCTTTTTTTTAATCAACCTTTTTTTTTTCGTACAGTCATAACAATAAACATAAATTTCAAAAAAACTCTGGCCCTAAAATACTTTACTAGCCGTAGCTCTTATTGCGTTAATTTGCTATGAAATCTTACAGTTTGGTAATATTAATACTATGCAAATTTAAACTAAACTTCAAAACTGATACGAGCCGAAGAAAAAATAGTTTATTGATTCGTGATGCTCAATGTAAATCTAGTTGGTTTTTTTTTACAAATAATAATAATAATAAACATTTATTCCAAACACAAATTAAGTACAAAAAATAAATAAAAAAGATAACAAAAATAACGAGGCTTGGAAACGGTTACCGGCTCAGCAATGCCTAACAGTAACGAAACAATCGGTACTGCGGCGCTGATCTTCCGCCGGCACCTGCGGAGTGACGCGCACACCAGCATCAGACCGACCAATACNTTGGAAACGGTTACCGGCTCAGCAATGCCTAACAGTAACGAAACAATCGGTACTGCGGCGCTGATCTTCCGCCGGCACCTGCGGAGTGACGCGCACACCAGCATCAGACCGACCAATACACAACATACACACAAATAAGTTACATATTTTGAAACGATATAAAATAAACCGGTTTTTTGGTAAGAAGGAGTGCGATTGGCTCGTAGAACTTGGCTCTTAATCGGGATAGATGGGCGAGCTCGAGGACTCTCACCCAGGACAGAAAGGAGACAAAGTGGGTGTATTTAGGCTTCAAAAGTATTCCTTTCAGTTTTTCGCTAAGATACGCGTTCTGGCAATGCACTGAAAAATTAAACCTCATGCCACAAATTAAACTGTAACACCGTCGGCTCGTTTCGCCCAAAATAAATATAACTCAGGACGGAATTTGTCATTCCTAAGGCCACCCTGGATCCGTCCCCACGATCCACCTTAATCTTGGTGAACAATAAATGTCTGCGCTAGACATTTTGCATACAATGACTAGTCGACGAGATTGCAGAAAAATTACTTGTCGCATCCAAAGGGTTTTCTGACAAATATTTTTTTATTTATTGCACATACACCAACTGGTTTTTTTAAAGGCATTTTTGTATGTTTTAATTTAATAAAAGAATTAAGTTGGCATATTTATGTATCTTACTCTATTAATAATTTGAATGTTTCATTTATTTATTTTTATGATGACAGTAGAGTTCACGGTCCGCGTGATGATAGTCTTCATAGATGATGAAAAAATCTTTAATGTAAAGTTCCTTAAGCCATTTCAATGAACTACAAATTGGAAACAGTCGTTTTATGTACCTATACGGGATTTCTTTCTATTCCAGTTGGCATGGTTTTCATTTTTTTTTTTTTTTTTTTATAGCTTAGATGGGTGGACGAGCTCACAGCCCACCTGATGTTAAGTTACTGGAGCCCATAGACATCTACAACGTAGACGCGCCACCCACCTTGAGATACAAGTTCTAAAGTCTCAGTATAGTTACAACGGCTACCCCACCCTTCAAACCGAAACGCATTACTGCTTCACGGCAGAAATAAGCAGGGCGGTGGTACCTATCCGAGCGGACTCACAAGTGGTCCTTCCCACAAAGGTGGTCATATAATATTTTCGCGAGTCGTATATTATGTAAATTAAAACTACCTTTACCTCGCTTTTTTTTAATTATAATTATATAATTTCCGACGTTTCGAATACATTACAAATGAGTATAAAAGAAATACGCGATAAAACCGTACAGGTACCGATTTTACTGGTATACTCGGTAGTGCAGTAATTAGCACCCCTGTCTGTTGCACCGAGGGTCGAAGGTTCGATTCCCACACCGGGCAAACATTATGTGATGAACAGGTTTGTTTGCTCTTCGTCTGGGTACCTATATCTTTATTGTTAAACTCCTCCGAAATGGCTCAAGCGATTCTCATGAAATTCTGTGTGCATATTGGGTAGATCTGAGAATCAGTCAATAACTATTTTTAATACAAAAAAAAAAAAAAAATTTGAAATGGCAAAACAACGTTTGGCGGGTCAGCTAGTATAAGCATATAAGCATATTTATCAGTCTCTGGTACCAATAACACAGGAAACCCCAGATTGGGGCCGGATGACCGTGCGTGACGTCTGCCGTGTGGTGACGGCATTAGAATACTTTTGTCACCACCCCCATTACCATCCCAGGGGAGTCGTAAGAGGCGACAAAAGGGAAAGCATAACACACAATATTTACTAGTGTGAGAGAAGGAAAACTCGAAATTAAACCCTGTACCAACCCGTCTAGCCAGCGTGGTACCAGTAGGCTAATAAACCTCCAAAATGATTGCACACCGCAGAACCAGGCCCCTAGTCCCCGGCGGCCCCGCTATTCCTGGTTACGGTAGCGGCCATGGTAACGGCGGGGCAAGGGGTGCTAAGAATCCCCGGCAGAGATCCGGCTACCACCCCCCTTCACAACGACAACTGGCCCTGGTGACATACAACGTGCGCACTTTGAGGTTGGACGAGAAGCTAATAGAGCTGGAAGAAGAAATGAACAAGTTGCGCTGGGACGTTATTGGTTTATCGGAGATCCGAAGAGAGGGGGAGGATACGAAAACCTTACAGTCCGGCCACTTGTTCTACTACCGGGAGGGAGAACAGAAGTCCCAAGGTGGTGTTGGGTTTATCGTCCACAAATCTCTCATAAACAACATTGTGGCCATCGAAAGTGTGTCGAGTAGGGTAGTATACCTTGTCCTCAAAATCTCAAAGCGGTATTCGCTGAAGATTGTACAGGTATACGCCCCATCGACGTCACATCCAGACGATGAAGTGGAAGCTACGTATGAGGACATTAGTAGGGCCATANGGTGCTTCACTAGGGATCTTTTTAGAAGGCTCAAAGTCGCGCAGCGAGCTATGGAGAGGGCTATGCTCGGCATTTCTCTACGTGATCGAATCCGAAATGAGGAGATCCGTAGAAGAACGAAGGTTGCTGACATAGCCCGTAGAATTAGTGAACTGAAGTGGCAATGGGCCGGCCACATAGCACGAAGAGAGGACGGTCGATGGGGCAGAAAGATCCTGGAGTGGCGACCACGTACTGGCAAGCGCAGTGTGGGACGGCCACCTACTAGATGGACCGACGACCTAGTAAAAAGCGCTGGGTCTCGTTGGATGCAGGTGGCAATGAACCGGTCGCACTGGAAATCTATTGGAGAGGCCTATGTTCAGCAGTGGACGGCGATAGGCTGAAATGATGATGATGATGATGATGACCGTGCGTAATTTGTTTCCGGTTTTTATTAGTTATTACTAATTAGTTTAAGAAAAATAATGATCATCTCAAGTTGTGGTCTATACGCACGTGTCTTTTTTCTGTGCTCTAAAATAAATAAAACAAAATCGAAAACGAATATACGTTAAAAAACTATTCCTCTATCAATCACTCTGAACAGAAATTCGGAAAGCCACCGCCCGTCAAAGTTTCGGTAACTGACCGACAGTTCGATACGTCTATACCACGAAATTGATTTGTTTTTTATCAACGCATATAGGCATTTTCGATGTGCCCGACCGCGACGCATTTGTGACAGGCGGTCGGCACTTGTCTCCTGTGTGGTCGAACCATATAATGGATTTTGATACGACGCGATATGGCGCGCATAAATCGGTTTATTTGTTCGGCCTTTGGAGACATTTCAGTTTTACGATTCCGGTAACGTTTTTTTTTTATTTTATTTTTTTAAATCACCGGTAATGTGTCTTGCTATGCGATTGTCGTGACATAGCGCTCAGAAATAATCTTGCACAATAATAGTTATGAGCGATTTATAATCATTAGATTGTTAGTGTTATGAAAATTGGTGTATTTATGTTACGGCTATCTTCGACCACGAACTCTCATGTCAGAAGGCAGTATCTGGCAAGAGGATTAAAAAAATATATAGAAAAGCAAAGATCTCAAAATGAAGGCCTAGGCTTGTGAAAGCATGGCCGAAAGTTCGTTGGAGATTGGAACTGGGATATTTGCAATCGAAAGGCACAAAGCTGAATGTTGAGCGAAACTTATTTAATCATGCTTACATTAAGTGTTTTTTAAGATACCAAAACATCATTTATTATTCAGTTGTCGAGCACCAAAAGAAAGAAATGAAATGATTTAACGAAAACAACGGTTAACTAAGCCAATTTTGGTCTAATTGCAAATCTGGATCTCCCCTCTCGCACTACTCAATTGAGAATTAATACGTATCCGAAAAGGATGGAAAAAGTCAATTTCTTATGTCTCGACGCCTTTGAACAGCCCTCAGTGGTCCGGGCGATTGGATCGATGAATAAAAGATTTTGTCAATTTGTGTAATAGCTTCGTTTTAGATTATGCATTCCGCGGTGTAATTGTATCCGATAAAATAAGCGATCGAAAATAAAATCTGATCATTTATATCCGTATTTTTTTGGGGACAAATATGCTTGGAAGATACTCAATACATTCCATTAATAACGACATTTGAACCAATAAGGTTCCAGATTTGGAAAATTGCGTGTTATGCCCCTGTAAGCCCACTGAGTTTTTCGCCGGATCTTCTCCGTGGGACGCGTTTCCGATCCGGTGATAGTTTCTGCGAAGCACTGCTCTTGCTAGGGCCAGTGATAGCAACGGTTTGAGCCCCATGAACTTACCTACAGGTCAGGGTGAAGCTGAAATAGCATCTCAAGGCTATCAGCATAGGTATAAAAAAAAACCTGTCCACTTTAATCTTAAAACACCGAATAATTCCGGCGATAATGTCGTCACGTTTTCCTTCCTCTAATACAGTTTGATTAGAAGTAACGTTTTCAAGTATCGGTGAATTTCAAAATAATACACCAATTAATGCATAAGCTGAACAAAAACCAAACAGATTCCACGACCGTAAATTTAATTCGAGAACGCAATAGATTTTCAATCTACAAGAAAAAAAGGTATCGTTCAAATTCCAAAATAATTAAGATGAATATCTGTGTTCCAAAGTATTTAATGGTTCCACATAACTGTTACTGCTTCCGAGAATAACAAAGTTAACAAAAGTTAAGACATCGACAGTTCAACTTTGACTCGCGTCCTTTATTGAACCTCCTTTGGTGCTTTAATTCGATTAATCTACAAATACATACCTATCTCAAAGTGTACGGTTATCTAAGTGGAGCTTAATTTTTTGTATCGATAAATATAATACTGTTAGAGGCGACGCCCTCTTAAGTCAAAAATAATAATTAATATGTCATGGATAACGACTTTAGTAATATTAAGACATTGTTATGATTATTATGATAAAATGTTGTTTTGATAAATATCACAAAAATGTAGGGTAGACACTGTAGCGCCACTGTATAAAATGGCGGTGCGTAAAAAGTGTCGCGGGTCGCGGCAGTCTGTCTCAGGCAGTCAAGTCGGTCGGTCGCTCTGTCGGGCTCCCGGTTTCTTAGGTTTAATATTCTGTGTGGATCGTTCCTACCCACTTTTGTATTTTATTTATTTAAATTATTAAGCCGTTGCTAAAAATACATACACTTCATTATCATTTTCTTCTCTTTTTATCAATATTCTATTTTTTACGATTGACTATTGACGAGCTGTAAAATTATAAGACAGTTTTTTTTTAAGTATCGCCATCTAAATTTTATCGTAGCTAGATTTCAATGTATTTAGTGGTTATATAAAAAAATTGATATTTCTTGATAAATCGTATGGTTATTTCATTAAGTGAAGTAACGCAATTCGGATGCAAAAATGCAATGAATCATGAATTTTAATTTAATCACCAACACTATTTTTTTCCACGTGCCAATAAAATTTCCTATAATTTTACTCGACATTATAAATCGCGAAAATAGTAGAAAAGATTAGATAAAAAATATTAAAACGAGTGTCAGAGAAGTTGAAACAATAAGACACCGATTGTCACAGAGGCGGCTTTTATCAAAGGACATAGATGCGTGTCTACCGCGGCGGCGTCATTTGACACCGAACTGTAGGGTTGGGACAATAAAGTCCATTGGATTGCAATTATGCAAAAGCCGCTTCGTGGTACTCAAAGGACACCAAATCCGAATTGACATGCCGACGGTATCCGTGATTAAACAAATATTTATCCACGAATACAGAAAATGATTGACATTTTTTTAACACGGAAATTAGAGAAAATGCGAATAAAGATATCGTAAATGAGGAGCTTTTAATGTGGAGCTTATAGTTAGTTTGTTTATCAGTTAGGACTTGCTCTATAATTATTCGATTTTCTGTAGGCTATTCGGTTTCCAGTCACGCTCATTCACGCTCAGTAGTTCTATTCACATTTTTTCACTACATCACTCCATCTTTCGCATTCTTCTTTCGGTTAATAGCTAGTACCTGAATGACCGAGCTTTTCTCGCTTTTTTTTGATAAATTGTGTTTTTTAGAAATTACATTTAAATACGAATTACATATTGATAAAATGATGAAATATGAATAATATGTTCCGATCTTACCGACAGAATAATAAAAAGATATGAACTGGTTATTTAAAGAAAAAAGGAAAAAATATCGAAAAACTTGATTATTGAAAACATGAACAAAACAACATTTTCTGAAAATAAATCGTAGCTAGATCGATTTATCGCCCTCGAAATCCCCTATATACAAAATTTTATGAAAATCGTTGGAGCCGTTTCCGAGATTCACATTATATATATTTATTTATATACAAGAATTGCTCGTTTAAAGATATAAGAATAAGATACGAACACTTCGTTCGTCTTTCGAAGATACATTCACGTGCTCTGTCAATCTTAATTTCACACAGAAATAAGTGCTTAATTAAATGAATAAAAATAAAAAATAAACAATCTGTTTTAATTTGCATACCGGTTAATGTCAACGCCGACAACGTTGCGTGAAGAGTTCCCGCTGCGCGCTGTCAGCCCATCTCGAATGGGTTCTGAACGGTTAGCGAAAGACAATCGTCTGTCGTGCCCAGACAGCCGTGTAATTGTAACCGGAAAATAATGCATAAAACTTAATCGATTATATGTTTTAGACAGGTGAGATGTTTATTGTTGAAGAGTTCGTTGTTAGGTTGGTAGCGGTTATAGGAAGTAATGTTTCGAGATTCATTACTGAATAGTTTTTAGATAAGTACGTGTAAGTCATTCGATAATTACCTAATCTGGCATTTCCAAATTGAAAGATTTTTTCATTGGTGACTTTTTAACGCTAATATACCTTTTTTGCTTTGATGGATGGACGAGCTCACAGCCCACCTGGTGTTAAGTGGTTACTGGAGCCCATAGACATCTACAACGTAAATGCGCGACCCACCTCGAGATATAAGTTCTAAGATCTCAGTATAGTTACATACCTTGGACGAGGACATGAAAAAAAAACCTTTATTATTTTAATTTGTTAAAATACCTATTTTTATCTTTATCTCGTAGTTATAGACTTCCTTTTTTTTCCCTACCTATGCTGATAGCCTTGAGAGGCTATATCAGCGTTACTGGACGTGTAGGTGAGCTCACGGGGCTCAATCCTGGCGAAGTTGCTAGCACTGACCCTAGCAAGAGCAGTGCTTCGCAGAATCTACCAGCGAATCGGAAAAGCGACTCACTGAAAAGATCCGGCGAGAAACTCAGTGGGCTACCTTCCATATTATTTTAACAAAATTACTGAGGGTTTGCTATTTTGTCTTTTTAGATTTAATTATACCTCATCGATCTTCTTTTAATTATTACTGACCAAATTATCAAAACGAAAACATAATATCATAAAACGTTTATTCAATAACCAATATAGAAATGAACACAAAAGACCTGCAATGATTAATATTTACATGGTTCGATCTCGTGT